TCTATTATGTAATCTTTTAACGTGTGAACCTACAAGATTTTGTCAGAACCTACAAGATTATGAGCAGTACCCAACATATATACATTATGCATTATAAAGGGCAATATCTGTCATTTTGTACACCAAATCTCTAATTTTTGGATTCTTATTGTCCGCTACTAAATATAGAATAATCTATTGTTTTCTACCTAGTTAACTCTAAAAATAATTACAATAATATAATTTCGGATTGGAAAAATATAGATATGATTATGAATACTTATATGAACAGTGGCAAATTTTGATAGAAAGATATACAATCTCACGTAAATTAGTTTTAAGAAAATGAGTGTTATTATATATAAAAAAAATTAAATAATATAGAAAATACAAGAATATGGTAGATTTGATTGGTACTCATAATATAATTTTTTAAGATGCAACTGAAAATATTATTTTTTGAAATTGACCATTCAAATTTCAGAATGAATTTTCATTTTTTTTAGTGGAACTCTCTCCAAGATAAAAAGTTATGAGATTGTCACAAAAATCGTTTATTTTTCTATGAGGTTCACAATTGACTTTTGTTACTCTTTAATGAAACAAATTATTCTCAACAATCTTTATGTTTTATATTGTTGATAAAATTTATGTATATAAATTTATCGTTTAAAGCTAAAATAAAAAATATTTATATATACTTATTTGTATTGTTAGCTATTTAAAATTAAAATGGCACGCAATGTGTGGGTATGAATCGAATATAGAAAAAAAAAGTAAAACAATTAAAGGCACATAAATAATATTTTTCTCTCTTATTTTCTTATTTGTTTAGGTTTTACAATTAATATTTAATAGTGTTGGCTGTTGATAAAATTTATGTATATAAATTTATTGTTTAAACCTAAAATAAAAATATTTATATATAACTATTTGTATTACTAGCAGTTTAAAATTAAAATCCCACGCAACGTGGGTATGAATCTTGTTAACTTTAAAGAAGCAGACAAGAACAGTAAATGAAAATCAAAGATACAATTTTAAATAAAACAAATTATGAATGGAAACCGGAAAAGACTCTTAGATAACTTGCTTCCTACAGATGTGTTTCTCCGAACAAAGCAGCATCTGATTCTGTACTACCACCAAAGAGGGTCCACAGATCCGACCAAAGGAGGGCTACGGAAACAGAATCTAACAGCGATTTTTGGACTCTTTTTTAATCACACAATTTGATATGATTGGGAATGTGTGAAACTGAGGGACCTACTTAGTAAGACTTAGCAAAGATTGCAACTTCTTCTGCTGGATTCCCAGTCATTAGGCATGTTTTGGTCCCTTGACTCTGTTCAAATGGGAAACAGCGAATGGTTGCACCGGTTTCTTCTTTTACCCTTTGCTCATCTGAGTCACTGGCTGACCAAGGACCTCTTGCCCATTTCCCTGAAGAAATTGCATCTTTGAGCTCATCGTACGAGGTCACATCCACAATGTTACTGGAAAATCGCAACAAAATGTGAGCGTGTGCTAATGCCGCAAAACTTAGGAGAAAGTTTGTGGGAGAAAGATAACAAAAGGAGTACCTATCCCTGAATGATAACGCCTTTTCTAGAAGCGATGATTGGATCTCATCCAATTTCTCTTTTACATATGCCACTAACGTTGATGGATCCATTGATATTCCAAAAACTTTTCCTGCCTTCCCTGGTATATCCCTCCTTGAGACAACAACACAGTTACTTGATACATCGCGTGGACCAATTTCAATTCTTAGAGGGATTCCCTGCAAAACCCCAAACAAATGAAAGCTGATATTGGTTAATTCACTGTAATCTTACTATGAAATTCTTTACACCGTTAGAAAATGATTTTAATGTTTTCTAAGAGAGTAATGAGAACCTTCATTTCCCAAAAGTTGAACTTCCATCCTGGGGTTCGTTGTTCGGTATCATCAAGCTTAACTCTAACCCCAGCAGTTTGGAGAACTTCCTTCACTGATGAGGCAGCACTGAGGACTTCTGTTTTTTCACTGTCCTTTTTCCAAATGGGAACAATTACTACCTGCAAAAGAAGAAAAGAGAAGATTTAATCGCAAACCCCAACCATCACTTGCGGCCGAGTTACTGATATATAACAAAAACATTTTTGCTAAGGGAAACAACAAATCTCATAAGCTAATAAATGAAACTTCAGAGATAGGCAAAGGAAACTGCTCAAGAAACTTCAAAACGAATAGAATATGAACCTCTATTGGAGCTATCTTGGGGGGAAGCATGAGACCAGTGTCATCTCCGTGAGTCATGATTATGCCACCGACAAAACGTGTACTGACTGCCCATGATGTCTGCCACACATGTTGCCTTTCTCCATTCTCATCTGCAAACTGGCATTGTCAAATATGTCACTTTAACACTCTTTGACAATGAATTGGCAAAAAATGTGACAAAACAAAGCATAGATGAACCAGTAGTAAACAACGTTTTTTAAACTGGCAGGTCATATAAAGCGACGAAAAAACGAGTTGGTGAACCAGTACGGAAGTTCGGGATAATAAATGAAAAATGAGAAATAGTTAAAACTTAAAACAAATTTATACGTCAGTACAAGCATGAAATACTTCTAAGATAAGTTCTGAGCCTTCTGTACCTGAGTTCCAAAGGCACGAGAAAAGTTCTGCCCTAAATTGTGGCTGGTACCAGCTTGCAAAGCCTTCCGATCGCCCATCATAGCCTCAATGGTATAGGTTATGTCAGCACCAGCAAACGTCTCTGATTTTGACTTTCGACCTACAATAACAGGTATGGCAGTTTGCTCATAAGCAAATCTGGTATAGATTTCGATCATCTGTCTTGCCTGCAATACAGCACTAAACATTTGTCACAGGAGAGTACCACAAAAAGCAAGCATCAGTTGACCGCAACAAAATACAGAACAAACCTCCTTTTCTGCCTCCTCAGGAGTGGCATGGGCAGTATGACCCTCTTGCCATAGAAATTCAAGGGTCCTAATAAATGGTTTTGTCCGCATCTCCCATCTAGTGACATTGGCCCACTAAGCCGCGTAAAGGAAATACATAACAAGAAGCAGCCATTAGTGGCAGGTTTATAGTAAGATGAATGATAAACCATTGGATGTCTGTTCACACCTGATTGATCATGAGAGGAAGATCACGATAGCTGTGAATCCATTGGGTGAACATGTGATTCACAATGGTTTCACTGGTCGGCCGAACCTGTCACAACCTCAACGAGTGCAACAATCAAGCCAAAACTTAGGTAATGAATTCCCACAAACTCTAGTTTTCTGATAAAACATAGGAATGCTAGAAAAATGCTTACCACGAGCTTCTCTTCAAGTTCCTTTCCTCCTCCAACAGTGACAAGAGCTAGCTCAGGACTAAATCCCTCGACGTGTGAAGCTTCTTTCTCAATAAATGAGTATGGTATAAACTACAAAAACAAAAAGACTAAACCATTACAAGCATAGAACAACAATGGAGACATTAACAAGAGCAAGTTTTTCATCCGTCTTATACTAACTCTATGCTAAACTCTAACTGAATCAACAATCTAAACCCAGCATAAGCTCTAATTTTGTAAAATTGTCAGTACCTGTGGGAAGTACATGTTGCTATGGCCAGTCTCTTTGAATCTGACATTTAAATACTCCTGCAAATTAACAAGCACAACGAAATTGAAAGCGAGACAAAGGGAAATTTGGCAATCAAAATCGAATCAACACCATTTCAACAAGAAACCTGAATCGCTTCCCAGATCGCGTAACCGTATGGACGAATGACCATGGTGCCACGAACCGGACCGTAATCCGCGAGCTCAGCGCTGGCTATAACATCAAGGTACCACGCATTGAAGTCCTGCGAGCGAGGCGTGACGGCTCGGTCCGACCTGAGCCGCTCGACCTCCGGCGAAGAAGTACCGCTCGGCGCCGTCGCGAATCCAGAGGCAGGTCTGTTCCGTAAACATAAGGTTCGTCGAAGAGCTGCCGGATAACGAGTGGTGGCGGGAAAGAGGAGGGAAGTGAGAGAGGGGAGTCTGAGAGAAGCCACCATTTATCTCCTTCCAGAGAGAGATTTTTGTGGAGTTTACGCTGCTCTCTCACAGGTCATAGGTTTATAACTTATAAGTCTTTTTAGATGATGACTGCTGCGTAAACTCATTTGTGGATAAAGCCCATGAAGCTTTTAATAGACTCGAAGGCCCAATATATGTTGTTTGTCTCTCAAACTTAGCTCGCTCGACTCAGCTCATTTATTATACGAGCTTAAAAACATAAGCTCAAATTTAGATCATCTAAACCGTGATCTAAATGAGCTAGTTCGCGAGTTAATACG